TAAATGATGCCTTTGACTGCAGTCATCCCGTTCCTCCTGGCTCTAAGCAGTACTTTGAGTACCTGCAGAGCAGAGGGGTGACCCACTTCAAAGTACCGCTGTCATGGGCTCAACTTCTTCCTACAGGCCACCCCAGCCAGCCCCAGCAGGCTGTGGTTAGATGTTACCAGACCCTGCTGAAACAGCTGCTGGAAGCAGGTCTTCAGCCTCTGGTCATCCTTCATGGATGGACAGTTCCAGAGTCTCTGCAATCAAGGTATGGAGGCTGGGAGAGCCAGGAGCTGGCACAGATGTTTCAGCAGTATGCAGAGTTTGCCTTCCAAGAGTTTGCACCACTTGCACACTCATGGGTGACACTGGATGGTGTTTGGCATGACGGGCAGCCTGCACATGCTCCCAGTTTTCTGCAGAACATCCTTCAACTAAACAAGAACATTTACCAGATGTACCATCAACACTTTCCTGACAAAGGTGAGTCAAATTAACAGGAAAAATGAAGATTAATGACAAAAGTGTCGTGACTAAATTTATGCTTTCAGAATTCTTCTCTAGTAAATACTTTTTTGCATTTCTCTGAGGATTGAGTTCACTTAGGGTTTTGTTTATAGACAAGTGTCTTGAGAAATCACAAATAAATCATATTTTATAACCAACTAAGTTAATAAAATCCTTCAGCACATGTTCAGCAGTTCCAAACAGTAAAAGTGCCTTTCATGCTTGCATATTTACAGGCAGACGTCTGTCACTTGGACTGAAAACTAAAGATGTGGCTTCTCTCTCCGACATTAAAGCTTCAACAAGTGTAAGTTTTTTTCTTTTCTTTTATATATACATATCTTTTAAACACTAATATATGTATAGTCAGAATTTCACCTCCTTGCATGATTTTTTATTTAGGATCCTAATAATATTTTCAGTTGTTGATATTATTTTGATAATCGGCAATGAAATATTTTATATTAACAATAAGCTCCAGTTATTTACTCACCAAATATATGAGAAACAAAATTCTTCCACGGCCTCAGAATTGACAAATATCCCCTTTAATGATTTTCTTGCATTTAAAGCTTGTTTTTAAATCTCTCCAAAATATTACAAACCTCAAATTCAGCTTTTTAAGGAATTTGCTTATCTGCTTAGGATGAATATTCCAGTGAACGTCCCCACAGATGTTCGCTTACATGATGTTTACCACTCATTGATAACTTAAAGTCTGTAAATGAATCAGTCCACATTAAAAGGTTTGCATGTATCACACAGGCGATTTTTACTGTGGCCAAACAATGAAATCTTACATTTGTCTCATGACAAAACTTTATTTCCATTCCAGTTAACGTGCATAAATTGCACGTTAACTGGCTGTTTTTGCGGGGGTTGCGTCTTGTAGAGGATTGTTCCCTTGTTATAAAATTATTTCAAGCCATTTAAATAATTACTTGATCCAATATTTTAATATTTTATTCTTTTTATTTTGGTTTTGTAGAAGGCATTCAACAACTCTTTACTCCACACACTCTAGTGACAAGAACAGCAGCACTAACGTACCTGAGGTTAATTCCCAAAGGAAAATTTAATCATTTTCTCATAATCTGGAACTACTGACTGTTGTTATATGGATTTTATATGGATTGGTCATATAATTATATACTTTTTGTTTGTTTGTTTTTTGGTTTGTTTAGAATATGACTGATTTGGGTTTTTTTATGTCATGTTGAGTGCTGTGTGGTAGGCAGGATGTAGGACCCAATTTCAGGACTCATAAGTAGGGATGGGTATCGTTTAGGTTTTATCCGATACCGGTGCCAAATC